CCTCGCAGTTTTATTTTACTTGATATCCTTCTCTTCCAGAACAAACTTTCTGTGCTTTATCTGTTCTGTTATTGCCCGGAGCAAAGGCTGGGTGCATCCTTTATGTTAGCTTAATATAGTCACAAGTGGTCATGGTGGAAAAATATGATTGCCTAAAAGAAACATTTAAAAATGCAGTAGTTTATAGTGCCAAGAATTCCTTCATAGAATCAAGGTGATGGCTTTTGTAATTTCTAAGTGGTCCTTTGGGAAAAACTCCAATTTGCTCCTACCTTAACATTTTATGTACCTCTCATTGCTTCAGAATATTTTGTTTCTGTAGTGGTTTATATAATCTGGCCTATAGATCCCTGGCTCTAACTCAACTTCTTCACACTTCATAGGAAAGGATAATGGAAATGGTGAGATTTAATACGCTAAAGTAGGCTGAGACAGTATAGTTGTACATGTAAAGAAACTTACTGTGTCTGTGTATGAGGTGCGATGGCTGTAGGCTATTAATGTGTGACCTGAGTTACGTCCCTGTTATTTTTTCCATCCAGAAATTAATTCCATTCCTATCACTGATACCAAAGGAAGCACATGCCTGAATTACACACCCCGTTGCTTACAGTCATCAAGAAGGAATCTGGACTAAATCCAACAAACAACATAGTCTATAAAACTTAACTGCCAAACTGAGTTGGCATCTGACCTTGAAGGTACATGGAGTTCTCCAGGCCTTCTACCTCCGTGCATCACGGCTGCCTCCATTTCTTAGTACTTGTTTCCTCTCTTATATTTATGGCCAGTTGGCACCCATATTTATCATCCTTCTTTGATCCATAAATCTTTAATCTGTTTCTAGCCTGGGTGGTGTCAGAAGTGGGTTTCAGTTGTCCAGAATAGAAGCAGAAATTGAGCAAAGATTTTCCACTTGCTAAGCAGGTACTAACTCCTGCTGCAGGTTGCAGCAAGAATTACTTGTCCTTCGTGGCAGCACCAGCCCTCCAGCAGAGCAGAGCTTTAGTTTCCTGGAAAGATCAGGTGAAGGTGCTGAGTCCTTAGAGTTGCTCTCATTGCAATTTGCTGGAGATGTTCCTGGAGCTGAGACCCAAGTGAGAGGCTGAATTTCACCCCACTTTCTTTTTTGCTTTCCTCTACATGAGGTCTGTACAAGAGTTGCTCAGTCTGGACCCCAGCATGGATCAGTGAGCTCAGTGTGTGTGGAGAGCTTCAGAACATGCATGGGGTTCTGCATTGCGCTCAGTTCAATCACCACCTGGCTTTGACATTGCCTAGATCTATTTTAATAAACCGTTGCAATCTAAGTCTTACCAACTTGGCTTTCCATTTCTATGTAAGGAGATTTGCTGTTATGCCCAATTCTACCCCATTGTTACATACCAAATTCTCCAACTATAGAAGCTAGTTATGGGATTGATAACCACAGGCATAAAAATAAGCAGCATGATCATAAGGAGATAATCTCAAAAATGCAAGTGAAAGTTAAACTCCCACTACTGAATGTTTCTGTTGTATGTACTAGCCTTTCCCTTAACAGTGGTATTGGCTGCGCCTTTTCCTCTTTCCTTGTGCTTCCATTGTAGAAGAAGCGTTGGCTAATGCTGAGCACAAGCCAGTTGTGATTACCTTACAGGAGGTAATGGCTGACTTAATGTAAAAATAATTTTAAAACCCCTTAATCTACGATCAGTGAAAGTAGTAGTTATTAATAGAACAGTAGAAAGTACAATGTCTTTGAAAGTCTAACATCCACTTAGTGGGAAGAGAGGAGTTGTAAATGAAGATACTCAGTAAAGGACTGATGAATCACAGTGGGTTTTATTTATTTAAAACCCCCAAAACTGTAGATTCATATATGCTTGTGATAAGGAGCTTGGATTCCTAGTGGGGCAGAGCAGATCCAGTCTTGGTCCATGTATCTGAATGGCACCTTCACTATTTCATATGGGAGAGTATTTGGACAGTCAAGTTGTTTTTGTCGTTTTCTTCATTTGCAAGAATATTCAGAATCAACCACGAACTTGCCCAACACTTCTCTCTGTTATTGCTTGTTAATGCCCTCAGCATCTCCCCACTGGAAATAACCCCTCCTCTTTAACTTTCATCGTTCACATGCCCTAATGACTTTGAGTCTGCCAAGCCATTCCTCAACCTTTGCCACATCATAGATGTTTAATTTTTCCAGGATGGGATTTTGGAGGGATCCTGCAGGAGTTGTGCACCCAAGCCCATTGAGATGCCAGGGTAGCTGGATACTCAGCTCAGTCTTGCTCCTTTGAAAATCCCAGCTTTCATCTTTTTCTTTGCAAGTCATTCCCTCCTGCCGCTTATTCAGTTCCATATGTATTTGGCTCAATTTTTTACATAGTTAACTTGAAAGAGTAAGGCCAGAAAATCAATTATGAAACTAAATTGACTTCTCAATTGACGTAAAGAGAAATTCAACAAATAATATTACAGGATATTAGTTACAGTTTGCCGACTTTGAATTTTTGCATGTTTCCCATGTACTCAGCTTGATTAAATGAACACTTTTCCTACAGAGGTTCTTTATTATTCAAAACTAGTAAAAGTGGGGAGCTTATCACATCAGCTTTGGCTTCTGAACAACATGGCTCATCAGCACAGTGAGAACGCCAGCCTCAGAGCTGCAGTAAACCAGTCATTTATTTGGATCCTGGCAAATGCAAGATAGACTTTGACCTGTTTGAGTCACAGCTGTTAAACTGGTCTGCTACCCACCAGCAGGACATCTGAGAGGGAGAATGGTCCTGCTAGGCAGGAAATCTGGGTGGCTGTATGATAGAGTGTGCAGCGCTGAGCTGCGTCAGAGACTTATAAGAGCACAATGGGGTGCACGCTAGATGGGGGGAAAAATACTATTTTATTAAAAGAAGTTACTTATCTACAAATGATGCATATTTTTGGTCTGCAGGTTCTTATTTAGAAGGCAGCAAAAGCAGGTATTTCTGAGATGGCACAGGCTTAACTTCTTTCACAGCATTCATTGATTTTCCCCCCCCGCCTTTGGTAACATAATGCAGAGAAACATTAATTAGGAGTAGCTGCTGAGGTACCTTCTTTGATTTTTGTTTTGTTTTGTTTTGTTTGTTTTGGTTTATTGGCAAATCATTTAAGTTATTAGTGTTAGTTGTGAGGATGAACAATCGGATTAGTTGTGGAAAAGGCAGTGAAGTATTGGTAAACACTTAGCATAGGTTTAATGTTCAGATAATTAAGAGCAATTGGCTATTTTAGATGACCATGGATATTCAAATAAGATTACCATTTAAAATGATTTGACAAGGTGTGTGACAGCAATAAGCACATAATAGAATTTCCCTCACATAGTGTAAGTAAGTGTAAGGAAAATAGGCCTTGACAATGTACTTTAACACCAGACCAGACTTTTTTCCTATTTGTCCCAATATTTATTCTCTTTAGTTATGGTGTCATCTGTGCAACTAATCCAGTTTACAGCAGTCTGACATCTAGATTTATGCTGCAATGCCATTACATTTCTCTTCAATATTCATAATATAGGAATTATCCATACTTTCACCTGTGCAGCGTTCAGTGTTTGCAGGAACTTTGTTGCATGATAATAAGCCTGTGGTTTTAAACTGTTAGTTATTTTTTGTAATTAAAGTACTCTGTGGAAAAATCATGTTTTAAATTCCCGAGCATTTATGAAAATGTATTTCCACCTGCATTGTTTTTTTGTTTTCTTTGCTGTTCCTGAGCAATCTTTAGTCCTAATGAGAGACTGTTAGGCATTCCATAGGTCATCTTGTTCAGTAAATGGCTGTGAATACCTTTAGGAGTGAATTATTTCCACTAGGTGTGCTGCGACCTCTTCCACGCACCCATTCCCGCTGTACGGGATTGCAGGAAAACTGCTGCGTTTCAGCGGGTCAGAGCCCCTACCCTTGGGGCTGCCTTTCTGTCCCAGCCTTGCAGGCGAAATGGCTAGTATGTATTCCCGTCATCACCCTGGCTTCAGAATAAGCTTATTTAGACTTTTTTTGTGTTTTCATTTAGTGAGACAAAGCAGCAATCCTTAGTGCTCTTCGCCACCGATTAGCCTTGCCTGGCATCACACACGTTTAATCTTCGGTGCCGTGATTCCTTCCTCCTGAAATAGTTCCCCTTGGCATGAGACATGGGTGGGACAGCTGGGGTGGGGACACCGGCAGCGGCACCGCGCTCCCCGTGGCCCAGTGCTTATGCTACATCCCCAAATTAAGTAAACCAAGGGAAAAACTTAAGAAATGCCTGGCAAAGCCGGGTGACACCTCCATGTGACATCCAAAGAGAAGAGGTCTCTGGAGAGGAGGGGTAAGTGGGAGGCTGCAGGAGGGGGTTTGTGGGGATGAGCAGATGCTTTCTTCTATGGAAAGGGGACGTTTCCCAGAAAATGTTTCCGTGGTTCATATTCACGTGAAAATGTAAACAAGCAAAGCCTGGTTTATAGGCAGTTGGACATCACTATTTGTATCACATACTTTGGAAAGTCACCCTGTCTTCTTGTCAGCGTCATAACATATGCAATTACAAATGTCCTTCCTAGAAAGGAAAGCTTTGCTGTAACATCAGTTATTACTTAAAAATGCATTAATTGTGCCAAAAGTCCTGTCTGTGCCGGTACTATGGCATTTTACTGGAAGTCTTGGTAGAGAGTAGAGCACAGCAAAATGACACAATCTTTATCCCATTGTCCCCAATATTCCTTACAAAAAGTTATGGAAATAAATAGTATAGGAGTGCCTGAAATAGCTGAAACAGGGTGCACAAAAGATGACTTTTAGTAATATTGATTTCTTACCTTTGGACCACGTTTCTTTTCCTTCATATGCTTTTAAGTATCTTTAGAACAGAAGCATGATTATATTGTACCTCGGTATGGCTGTGGATGTGCATGTAACAGCCCCAGGAGGTCGGTGTCTGTATGATTTACAAGGGTCTCTTCTACTGTCCATCACTTTTGTATATAGGTGTGTGATCCGAATATTATGCAAACCCGAACTCGACAAGTGCTAAGGTCTTCTGTCAATACAAAGCCCTGCCCTGAAGATTCACAAATGAAGCCATGTATTCTTAACCAAAATTGCTTCCAATATCAGTACAATCTAACAGGTAGGTATAACTTTCCGATATGCTCTTAGCAGGAAGTGACATCAATTACAATATATACTAAATTGATGCTTGCTCTTCCAAATATCTTTGCATAAAAGATTCATCTTCTTAAAGGCTTTCTCCACTGGTGTTTTTAGTTATGTTTGCTTGTGATGTTGGTTAAAGCCTTGACATTAAAGGAGTTATGTGTAGACACCACTGATTTCACTAAAGTGCCTAAATCTTTTTTTTGTCCAAAGGTTAGTGGACAAATGCACAATTTTTAAGGTAAGTTGTTATTGCAGGTACACTAGAAATAAAATAGGTTAAATGGGATTTCTTCTTTTTGGTGGGCTATCAACAGAATTATTGACAAAATTCCAGTTAAAAGAGTATCATCTGTGTGATTCTGGTGAAGCCAACAACACCAAAAAAAATCTGGTTTGAAGGTAAATATGGGTTATATGTGTGTGCATCAGATATTCAGAGCAAAATGCATTATTTAGGACCTTAGAAGCAATTAGATCTGTTGCAAACAAACTAACAAAATCAAAGGAAAAATTCCTGTTGTTTTGACCAGCTCGGATAAATGAGAAAGGCAGAGAGAGGAGAGGAGATCTAAGAGGAGTTTGGGGGCTGGTGAGAAGGGAGAGCAAAGCAGGAGAAAACATTATATCTGAATATCAACTCAGCCTGTTTGAAATAAAAGCCCTAGAAACACACAGGCAGCAGGACGATGCCTTTTTTTATAATCACATTTCAGAAATGCAGAACATTTATATGTTCATGTTTATCAGAGGTGGAAGATAAAAAGTAGTAGGTTTTCTTCTCGTATGCTTCCTATTTATTGGTGATGCATGGACCCTTTTGTTGTTTGTGTTATGCTTCTTTTTTATTTTAAATGATGTTTTAAGGCTTCTTTTAGTTTAGTTGTATTCTGACCATCATAATTTCAGACAAGTAATAAGATATGAATTTTCTTCTACTAGAAATACTAGTTTTATTTCATGGGTATTCGAGCTTAGTTTTAAATAATGGAAAGCTTTGCCTTGAGACAAGAAATAGGTTAAACCAGAATTACCCTTCAGAAACTTCCACAGCTACTTTATCAAAGTGAAATTTTACTTCAGACAATACAGACTTGTAAATGCACCAACTGGGTTGAACTGATATACTTTATCAGCGTTTAACAGTTTTCTGTGCACTCTGAGGTACGGGTTTCGTTGAGGGGATATCTGAGTGCAAAGTGAGGAGTTTCTCCTCCGAGACTTGCTCGGTTTTAAGAGCAACTTTCTTTTGCGTGGGTTGTTCTTGGGTTTGGGATGCCCTCACGTGGGGAAGCGCCGCGTTAGGGCAAGGTAACCCTCGTGCTGAGTAAAAAGATGTGAAAACAGAATGATGGCCATGACCTGCTGCACTGCATCCTTTGTGTCTGCAGGCTGGAGCGGGTGCCAGCTGGGTGCCAACGCCACTTGCGGGCACGGAGAACGGCGGCGCCTCCTGAGCTGCCGGCGCAGCGACGGGGCCACCGTCAGCACGCAGCTCTGCCAGCGGGTGAGGATGGCACACGTGGGGCAGGGAAACGCCCGGAGGTTCATTTTGTTTCTGGAAAGCCAGTGCCTTGTGATGCGCACCGTGGCACTGTCCATAGATGGTGACGTTGTGTTTGCTGCTGGGAGCGCAGCAGTTGGGTGCTTTGGGGAACAAAAGCATCCCCAGGGTGTTAGTGGGTGGTATCACTCCTTGACTCAAATGGGAGGTTTTTGGGGTTGGAGTACCATGCGTGGGGCACAGCTGTAGAGCCTGCACCATGGGTCCAACAAAGCTGGCCACCAGGAGGATTGTGCCCTACTAGAAGTTTGGGATTGTCCTTTCAGAGTAAGACCCAAACACTGAAGGTCTTGTGGAGGAGAAATGCTTCGACACTGAGACTGCTTTCACCAGTTGCACGCTCAGGAAAACACCCTGTGAGCAGCAACGCTGGCATCCCACTGGAGTCACTGCCAATCTTCAGTTTCCTGACTTGGTGCCCAGCCGCGACGGGAGGTGGCCGGGGGGCTGGGGAGGCTGACGCCTGTGTTTCCTTGTCATCTCACAGCTTCGCCTGGAGAAGCCCGTGCAGACGAGCAGTCGGTGCGTGGTGGGGTGCGCGGTGGACTGCCGGCTCTCGGCATGGTCAGCCTGGTCGCAGTGCTCCCACACGTGTGGCGCCGGCGGTGAGTCCCCAGCTGCCTCCTGCCCCCTTCCCCCCGCTGCCCGTGGCTCAGCAGTGCAGTGCAGATGGGACCCCCAGCCTCAGAAGGGCTTACGCAGCCTCTGAGCAGGGGTGCAGAGCTCAGGGTTCCTCCCGAGCTGCACTGAACCCATCTGAGGTGGTTTTTGGACACTCTCAAGGTCCTGAGGTGTTGGGGTTTTTGAACAAAGCAGGCTATTTTCAAAGTACTTGGAAGTGAAAATGCAGTTTAGGAAATCAAATGGACAGATGCCTGGAGGATTATTTAACTAATTAATGCAAACGCTTAGAATTCAGTCATAGGAAACATCAACCTCAGAGACGAGAGGAGTAGGTAGAGCTAGCGAAGAGCTGGGGAGTTACAGGATTCTCAAGAAATGGATAAATAACTAAATACAAATCCTCTGGTGAATTTATTTTTAGTAACATAATTACATCCCATGGAAGAAAAAACACTAAGACTATTTTTCATCATTTAGTATATTCCTCTGTCTCCATCTTGTATCCACAGGTCCCTTAATACTTGCATGCCTCCAGTAACTTCAGCGAGGTTTTCTATAGCCAGTAATGCTCACCAGCATACAAAAAGTGGAAGGACTAGGACCTTTTTTTTAACTTTATATGATTTAAAAAACCCTTTGAGTATTCAACATGAGGAGATGCACTGAAGCTTTTATTCAAAATAAGCTCATGACATTATTTCCCAGGCTTCTGATATGCATTAGATGTACAGCTAATGGTCTTTAAGATTTGAGACCCATAATGTACATTTTAATCAAATTCACTTAAGGTCAAAAAGAAGAAAGCTCTTAACTTCCATAAAGTGATTCCTTCAGATGGATTTTGGAGATCAAAGCGTGTTACAGAAAAAGCTTAATATTTGGATTAGTGGTGTTCTTTCTTTGCTGAGCTTTTAGCCCTTTTGTAAAGTAGTGCTTTCTTAACAGAAATGAATAATTCATAGACAGTGTTTTAACAACAACACACTAGGAATACTATTAATTCCAAATTTATTTTTTTTTCCTTCAAAATCCATTTTGGAGTGTTAATGCTCATGTTGCTGAATGGACTTAAATTATTTTTTTGAGTGTTCAATCACTTACTAAAATAAACAGAACTATGTGTGCAAAAGCAAGTTGCAATTTATGGCTTTTAGCATGCTAAAGGAGCAGCTCATCCTATATAATGCCTGGAGGTTTTTTTGTCCTGAGCTCTTACATTGCATAGTCTACTTTATTCAAGTAAAGGTATGTTTCATATTCTTCTCCTGATCCTGAAATGCTTATGTAAATCCTAAAGACTGATTAAAGAGCTGATGGTTTCCAATGCATGTAAGAGGCAACCGGTTACTTCATGTCCTAAATCAGAGCTGGGCTTTTGCAGAGGGAAGCTGGAAACATCGTGTCCTGCCGAAGCAGACCTCAGCTCTTCCTGGGAGCATCCCAGCTGTAGGTGCCAAACCTCATTAAGGCTACTTGTATCACACAGTGAAGCCCAAGCTTAGCTCAGTCTATGGGTCGTCTTCTGGTCCTCAAAGATCATAACTCTCTGTTACACTGCTAGCTAGGGAGCTGGCTTGTATAGTCCAGGACATAGACGTGTACAATTTAAAAGCTGGAGATACTGTTTTGTGAAGATACGGCAGCTAAGCGGCTGGGAAAGTCTTAAAAATTGTATCATAAGGAAGCCACGTTTTGCTTATTCCTCCTCTATCATTTGAACAGCTTTCCAGGGACCCAAGAGTCTTCTGAATCACATCCCAAAGTAGGAGCATCAATGAAACAAAACTACTTTGCATGGAAGTTATTCTGAGCACATGGTTTGATGAAGAGTGTCAATGAAACAAAATACTTTGCATCCAAGTTATTCCAAGCACATAGTTTTATTTTACTGCAGCCCCAGTCCTGATCTGAGTTTTGCTGTAGCAACCATCAAGCATGGAGCTACACGGATGTCGAACACCCGTGATGGAGGGACCTTGGCACAGTCCTGCGGCCGTGGCCTTTGTGTTGTTCCAACAGCAGAAGCACTGTCATTTCAGCTTCTTCACGGAGTTCCAGTTGGTTATAAATACAACTTGATGATAGTATTAACAGAGAAGACACTAATTATGTACTCATCTACAGGTGATAATCCATAGATGAATACAGAGAGGGTTTTCTCTGCAAAGGTTCAGACTGCAATACCTCTGAAATCATCATGAATTTCTCACAGGCATTTGTGAGAATAGGATGAAGCCTCAAATTAGACAGGAAAAACCAAAGGATGACAATAAATGAGCTGTGGGAACTGGCTGTAGTACACTGATTCAGCTCCCCTTTGCCAAATAAGTAATTGCCCGCTATTTGATAAAGCTAAAATGTAGGACTTAGATGCATGGTTCTCAGAAGTAATTCACAGCAAATCGGTCATATGCACCATTACTGGCTCCACTTACAACGATATTCTGCTTTTCTGGCTTTTCTTGGAGAGCGTGTGAAGGGCCTGTTGAAGTACCATAAACGACTTCAAAGAGAAACATAATTTAAAAATCATTCAGATCAAAATTTAGTGTTGCTGGATTTACGTTTTCATGTGTTTCTTAACTCAAGCATTGTTGCTAACATTTTTATTCTGACCATCTCTTCCAGTAACGGTTTGCTGTGATATGTTTTAATGGATGGTACCTTTCTCTTGCTCAGGTTTTATTTTATAGAACAATGCATTTAAACATGAAGTGGTGCTGCGGTGTATGTGGCACTGACAGCTAATATGGTTCTGGTACACAGCAGCCAAAGGCGAGTATATTGATTTTTATAAATGATGATGAGTAAAGTAGATCTCTCTTTCCTGCCTGCGCTGAGCCTACGGAGATGTGTAACTGATATTTGCCTGTTGCAGCTGTAGTTCTGGGCAGCATCTGTTCAGGATGCTGGCTAGGGCTTTAGGCTGACATTGGGTTATATATTAAGGTTCCTCATATCGGTTGCTGTACTGCTATGAAAAGATGTATAGTACTGCATTAATGGATGGTGCTCCCACGGCCTGAATCAAAGTTACTGGGAAGATGTTTGGTACGGATAATCCCCAGCAAATTGTATTTCCTTTGTTAAGGCAAATGAATACACAAGGATGCTGGATTTTTCTACATAAGCGTTTTCCAATCCTGTGTGATTTCTCCCAAGTTGTCTAGCGGGAGTGCTAAACAGTGTAAGAACACCTAAACCCATGCTTGCTCAGTCCTCAGAGCCCAGAAGAGACTGCAGCAGGTGGCAGAGATGTGCACACCAGCACTGGACTGACCTGTGGGACAGAAATAAGGAGGACAAGGATGTGCACGACTGAAAAACTTGGTGGTTACATTTTTCACAGATTCATCACCAATTTGGGAAAACATTTTTTGTTTGGGCTTGTGAAGAAGAAACTTTTGTGACTTTTTCTTGCTTGCTGTTCAAACTCATTAAGCTCCAGTTTGATGGTGCTGAGAGGCACTGCAGGAAGAGGGGTCACCAAAACCTCTCCCAGAGCTGTGGATGCCCCAGTACCCACTGGTGGGACTGGCAGTGGGAAGTAGATGAAAACCCCCATTTCTCAGCAGTCGCCTTTGCTTCTGACTTGACCTAACCTGGACTTCAGGGCTGTATTTAAGTAACTTGATCCCTGCTCTGGTCTTGCGGTTGCTTGATAGGGTTGTGTTTTATATGTTCTGCTCACACTCATCAAACAGGTAACAACATGTCAGTAATTCTGACTGGGTTGAACTCTAGCAGGAATTTTAATCTTCTTGATTTCAGCCATGATGCAATCACTTTGTGGGGATAAAATGCAAGGAATGTCAAGATTTTTTGGGGGGTAAAAAATCTTATTCTTCTGATTTGAAAATAGGATCCTGTGTCTTGAGATGAAATTTTAGCCACTGATGCAAAACAGGGTTTTAAGTGACCAGCATTAACAAGGCTAGCCTGTTTTTTCCTCCTTTCAAAACTAATGACAAATTTGAGGATATGAAGAAATACTTATTTTCAATTTTCAGCACACCTTCTGTCTTAATTTTTGTATCATGTAACACTGCAGAGCAGAGGAAACAGAGATATGGCCAATTCATGGGAAAATTGAAGAAAAAATCATTGGGAAATTAAAGACACAACTAGGATTGCTTTGACTCTTTCAGTTTGTATTGGAAGAAAAATAATTTCAGATGCAGTGAGATTCTATTCTCCATAGGCAGCAAAAGATAAGGTATTTAAAGAGTAAAGAAGGGGAGTTTTTCTGCTATTGAAGTGGTAACCAGGCACCTAGGTAATGTTTATGGAGTGAGAAAAAAAAACCACAGAGCTTTAAAAAACTCACTGCAGTGATTGTGCAAAGAAGGATTTTAACGAAGTATCTTCGATGATTTATTCAAAGTATAAAAGAAAGTGGTAAACTAAATGAGGCAAGCACCAGCTGACCATTGTGAATGTAGCGAGCTTAAACGGTTTGGATAACCAACTGTAGGAAAGTAAAATGTAAATAGACACGGAAGGGTTGTTAATTCCTCTTAAAAGGAAAATCGTGTTTTCTATTTCCATTTACATTTTGCTAGAAAGATGTTAAACAGAGTGTGCGAAAGGAAATTATTTCTTTAATTAAAATAGCTTGATGAATGCTTCAGGCTTTCAAGTCCCTCCTAATGAAATCAGATCTTTTAAGTTTAGGAGAGCTCCTTTTCCGTAGCCGCCGTTTCGGGGCTCGAGCCTGGCAGGGCCGCAGAGCTCCCTGGCCGGGGTGAGCCGCCCGCCCCAGGGCATCCCGAAGACCCCAGAGCCACGGGCTTCCCACGGCTTCCCAAAGAGCCTTTTGCATTGCTTACCAGTCCTCAGCATTCAGAATTACAAAGAATCCGGCAAATTTGGCCCATTGCTGGAGAGGAAGAAACAGCTAATTTCGGCCTGTTGCGCAGGGGAGGGCTGCCGTGGGGTTTGCCGGCAGCGGGCTGGGGGGTTTCTCTTCCCTTGCTCTGAGTCCCCGTGAACCGCAGGAGTTCCTTTCCTTTCCTTTCCTCTCAGCTGGTCGGATTTTTTTTCCACCTCTTGCAATACCTGATTCCGTGATGGCTGAATGCACAGTCATGTGGATAAGAGCTTTTATCATCACTTCTCTTGCAAACTCCCCAGGTTTAGTGGATTAGAATTGGAAAAGGAAGAAGTCTTAAAATTGGTTTAAATGGGTATAAAAATGGAATTCAATGGGTCAGAGCAAGGGAATAGCATTGTAAAGGTAAGAGAGCTTGCCAAGGTATCTGTCAGTAGCTTTTTCAGGTGTGTCTGCTTTTAATTTTTATTTGCTAAAACGTTTTTGGAAACCCTGCTCCATGGACTGCCACAATGACAGTTATTAGAGATGTACCTTAAACCCGGCTGCAGTACCCCTAATTAAAAAGCGCGTGCATCAATAGCTGGGAGGAGGATCTGGCTGGATGCCGCAGCCTCCCCACTTCACAAGGGGTGTTTGCTTCCCCCCGGGCTCCCCTCGACTCACGACCGCAGCTAAACGACTGCGTTCCAAATGGGAGAGCTCCGCCGCAACACGTCCTCGCTTTCCTCCTCCGTGAGTTAGCAATTACCACTTGCATCTGTCTTGTTGCATGTGTGTGCCCGTGTCACCCAGACCTTGCATTTTTTTTAACTGCCTCTCAAATCCACGCCTATTGAAAGTCAAGGTAGAAATTTTACCCACAGCACAATCTTCTGCATCCCGTTGCATAAGGGCTTTTCCCCCCCACTTTTCTGTTAATTGGAGGCCCAGATTCTAATGGAAACATTTTGAATGAAAACATTCCTGGACATAAATGGACGGCAAAGGAGACAGAAATGGAATTGCTGTAACTTTAATGATTATATTCAGTTTTATTATTTCAAAAGGAGTAACGTAATTGCTTTTTCCATTCAGTGGCTGAAGAAGTTTTCACCAACAATAAATAGGGTTTTGATGGAAATGGCAGAAGTGGTTATGGACGGTAATAGCCACTAGAGTGTTTGCAGTTTTCAAATTAGATGCACATAATTGGTCATAAAAAGAAAATTTAATTCGTTAAAAATCTCTGGAAGCATATTGAACGTGTAACGTTAGAAATGATGCTGCCACAGGAATTATTTTCTTGTCATATTTAATAATCAGGATTTAGTCAAGTATTTAAATGTGCTGCATAAACAAATAATGTATTTGGAAAACATACAAAACTCTGTTTAAAAACTGTGTTTGAAAATATCAGTGACTACATCACTTAGACTTAGCAATTGCATCCATATTATCCAAATAGTCTTCCCAATTAATTGCTTTTTTAACAGATTTTAGTGGTGGAAAATGAACTAGGCATACTGATAAATCACAAAATCTGCTTTTCTTTCTTTCTCTGGGTCTCCTTCACTGTGTCCCGTCTTCTCCCCTCGCCTAGGCCAGATGGTGCGTGGGCGCTCGGTGGTCCTGCGGGCAGCGGGCGAGGGCAGACCCTGCCCGGAGCAGCTCACCCAGCACCGGAGCTGCCCGGTGAAGCCCTGCTACAGCTGGCTGCTGGGCCCGTGGTCTCCCTGCAGAATCCAGGTAGGGCTTTCTCCAGCGCTCCCCCGGGGCCCCGCGGCCGAGGTCAGTGACAAGAACCTTCATTATATGGCAGAATTGATTGAGGTTGCCGTTCGCGGGTCAGAGGTGTCTCTGTGGCCATTGAAGGCGCTGGTAAGATCCATAGGAAGCAGGGGAATTCAGGAGCGGTAAACCTCTGCACCTCATCTTCCAGCCGTCTGCAGCTATTTATAACAATACGGGTTCAAGTACCGCAAGCTTATAGAGGTATTAAAGGAGATTTACAGAGTAAATATGCTTGAGTGGGCATAGTCATGGTGACCTATAATTTAATTATATAAAATAACTCTAACAAGAAAATAGATAACACTAGATTTCAAGAGAGCTTAGTCTTTTTTATCGCTTTTTTTAAAGGACTCTATAGCAGATTTTTCCCCACAAGGTCTCCGGTACAACAGTGTGAGTTATTGTATGAAGTGCTGGTTTCTACTTTTTTCTTAGCTGGGCTATCCTTTTAATGATCTAAAAAGGGCTCCATTCGGTTGGATGTGCTGTACATAGGCTTGGCACCTCTGCTTGGCACTGGAGTAGTCATTTTTTCACTGCCAGTGACTTGCATCTGGCTTGAATTGATTTTTTTTTTCTCCCCTCTATGCTTTTTGTTCTCTCCTTATCTGTTAGATCACATTTCCAATATTAAATAGTCCAATATTCCAATAGTAACCCAGTTTAAGCAGAGGTGAATCTTGCACACACAAGTTTCTCGGGCAGAGTAAAGTCCTCTTGTGCTCCTTAAAGCCGGCTTTGCAGAGATGCAGGTGGGAGAAGTCTGGTTGGGGTGGAAAAGTGCCCTGTCTGGTCCCAGGGGACAGCACCTCTGTGCAAATCTGTGCCCGCTTCTCCACATTATACCGTGTAGGAGATTGAAGCCAATGATGCGCATAAAGATACATCCCATGTGTTTTCTGCTCTGCCCTCTACCATGCTGCAAACGCCTTGAATACCTGTTTGGTTTCTAGATGCGGTAGATGGACGTGTAGTGAATACTGCAGGTGGCAGAATAGATACCCAGAGTTTTCCCAGGTTTTCACAAATGAAATCTGGAGCGTGACAGTCTTTGGACAGTCCAAGACCAGAGAAACAGAAATATATTTATACTTTATATAATGAACAACAACTCACTGCAACTAGGGATGTGAATATGGTCCTTGTATGTACTGTGCTTAGCATTTATTTATGTGTAACGTAAATATAAAAAAATATTAACATCAGCTAATATTTTGTCCAGCTAATGTAAGGAAATTCTGTTAAACGTTAGGGAAGAGACCTTAAGCCATAGAAGCCAACATAGCTGATAAAAGAATTAGTAGGGAAGCTGAATTTGTGCCCTGGCATACTCCAGATAAATAGCACATTGTGCAGATTAAACGTGTGTGTATCCAGAACTCGGCTAAATTTCAGCTCAGAAGAAGTAATCACAGCCTTCCGTAACCCAGATATCACCCTGTGCTTTCAGTGAGATAGAGCCGGCTTCTCTCCTTAAATTACTGTGATGTAGTTTCTCTACCCTTTGCTTTGTTTTGGAGAGGAGCCATTTTATTCGTGTTCAGTTCTCTTTAATGAGGTGCTTAGGAATTAAATGTAGTTCATAAATACAGGGTGATTTATTCCTGTGCCTTACTGGAAAGGAAGCTTAAGCTTACTTTCTAAAGAAAGCTTTCCAAAGTCCTGTTTTCAAGGATGCTTTGTTAAATAAGGTAAATGCATCCAACGGTAAGAGTAAACGCATATTGTGAAAGTGTCTTCCTGTAATAATATAAACAGGACAATTAATTATAAGGCTAACATATTTCTTCCTTGCGTTATGAGATAACTGAGACTGCATTTCTTAATTGTAGAAGGACTATTTTATGCTAAATTGACTTAATGTGAATAATTAGAGGTGTCTGAATGTTTAGGAATAGAGCCCGCTAAGTGTTCTGTATTGCTGATTTTCACAGTACAGAAATCAGTGCATTGCTCTCCAGGTACTTACATGTCCCAGGCGCATCTCCGGGGGGTATGGGGCATTTCTGTTGTGTTCAGATGGATGCAGAACTTGGGGAATGGTCAGTACACCTAATCTTAAAGGGTTACATTACACGAATCATTTTCCTGCTGGAGCGGGTTTACCTTGATTAGTAAAATAAACAAATAATAAATTATAGAACCATAGAATCACTAAGGTTGGAAAAGACCTTTAAGATCATCAAGTCCAACCATCAACCCAACAGCACCATGCCCACTAAACCATGTCCTGAAGTGCCACATCTACATGTTTTTTGAACATTTCCACTGATGGTGACTCCACCACCTCCCTGGGCAGCCTGTTCCAATGCTTGACCACTCTCTCATTAAAGAAATTTTTCCTAATATCCAATCTAAACCTCCCCTGGCGCAACTTGAGGCCATTTCCTCTTGTCCTATCGCTAGTTACTTGGGAGAAGAGACCAACACCCACCTCACCACAACCCCCTTTCAGGTAGTTGTAGAGAGCGATAAGGTCTCCTCTCAGCCTCCTCTTCTCCAGACTGAACACCCCCAGTTCCCTCAGCCGCTCCTCATAAGACTTGTGCTCCAGCCCCCCCACCAGCTTCGTTGCCCTTCTCTGGACACGCTCCAGCAACTCAATTAGCAGTGGCTGACACTGTTCATAAATTTTCCATTAAAGGAATATAAGTGAAGTAGATAGACAGACATTATCAAGCACTAGCAGCCTAACATTCGTAAGAAGACTAAGAACCCTTCCTTGCTAAAGTGTTTTAAAAGCAATCCCTTAAATGTGATCACGCGACACTTCCTCGTTAAAGAAAACTTTTACCTGATTAAATGCTCATCAACCTGTGAAAGCATTGCCCAGCCAACTCTTTATCTAAAATAATTGTGAACACGCATGAACCCCAGTAAAAGCTGAAAAGGGAAAACTTTTCTTGAAGGCACATCTGGGCAAAGCATCTCGTTAAGGACTGTTATCTCTTGTCTTACTAGCGTGTTATATGTGGTGAGTATGGGAGAGTGACGTGAGAGGAGGTTTGTGCAGGTGCGGTTAGCATGTTGGTCAATTCAAAAGATACCTGGCTGTCAAAACACAGTCCTGGTGTAAACCTTCGCCATATTATATGGGTGCTCAGTTGGGGTGAGGGGGGTGAGAGGCGGAGGCTCCATGCAGGTGCTCCTAGAGGGGCCTGTACCCCCAGGGCACCCAGGGTGGGTTCTGCATCTTCCATAGGGTCAGCATAGACATTTTTGTAGTCAAACAGGGGGAATCCTCTCTGGAAGTGAAATCCCTACATATTCCTTGCCAGGAGCTCATGACTCGAGACAAATCCTGGTTCTAGGCAAAGCTCAGGTGATCACGTCTTCTAGGGAAGAGCATTTACAATACAGATTTGATCCCCCGAGGTTTGAATATGTGATCATCTTCTTGGCAGTTCTCCTCTGATTAGCAGCTATTCCCTGCATCCCTAGTGTGCCTTCAGTGCAGCAAACTTTCACTGATTCCATCCCGGTTAATTAGATCTTCAAATGTATAATTTTGGGGACACGAATAATTTTTAAGATGGTAAAGAAGTTCATGCAGTGCTCGTGCATTGCTTATGACTTTGCCAAATATAAAAAAAACATCTTCCTTTATAAATGACTGGATGATATTTTATCTTCTAAGTGTTTTCAGTTGATTGTGAAAACACACTGCTGGTCTTGAAAGAAAGTACAAGCAAATGGAAGCCACTGTTAAAAAGAGAACCTTTATCTTTGGAATTGTTTGAGAGTCCACAGTTTCTATTTATTTTTTTATTCTAAACATTGGAAAATATGAATGCATTTATAATATTGCATGAAAGAAGAACGAGGAATGTTGCCTTGAAGCATGGGGACTTTTATGGTGGAGACTGCTGTACCAAAAAAATGTATTGTTTTCACCTATTATTTATATTTATATCTCGGTATTCATATAACTACTTATATATGTATATAAACAGTTATATATTGTTTATACAATAATAAGTGTCTTTTTAAAAACTTTCTTTGTCCTTTCCCATAACCTTTAGTCATTCCTTGAGACACTTTGAGCTGGAAATACACTGCAGTTTGATTAGTGCCCATTTCCCCTGAGAATTTTCTCCACACCGTCTTCTGTTTCCACCAGCCATTTCTAACCCAATTGACAGCTGCACGAGTTATTCACACACCATTAATCTCAGACCGCAACAGAGGTTTCAGTGGTGAAAGAGTGATTTAGAACAGTAAGTTACATGGTGACTAAAGTGAAACACAATGTTAAAAACTTGAAATCTGGCTGAATATAGTAAATCTACACTAATACTTCTCTAAGATGCTTTTGATTAGCAAACGCTCTAAATCCAGCTAGTTAGTTCCATTTCATTGTGGGTCTGCAACAGAAGGGATGGGGGGAATGGAAAAGCTACCTACCAGGTGTGTGCAGGAGAGCCATCCTTGAGATCCCTGCTAGCAAACACACTGCTGAATGAATGCACACGGTGGGAGCCATTCTGCTCTGCAGATGAAGTCCATTATTTTAAAAGAATCCACTGCCAAGTGATCCAAAGGCGCACTTCCCTTGGTTATATAAAAGCAGTGTTTCATCCTTCTTCTGGAGTTTTATTTACTGAATTTTGTAAAGTGCCATTTCCGCAAGGCTTCAGGCACAAGTTCATAAAGCATCACGCAGGTTTAAGGTGTACACCTCAAACATCATTGCAGCTCTGTTTTTCAGAAGAGAATGAAACAACTCCAGCCTAGAAACAACCCTATAAATAGCCTAGTGCTTCAGTTCTTACTGCGTCCTCAGCCCTGTATCACTGCCTTAGCCAAACAATATTGATTTTCCAGTAAAGGAAGTCATCTTCAGCAAGTAGTTTGGTGTTTGGCTAAGTATTTCAGAATTGGGCTGACGGGTGTGGAGAGGCTCAGATAGAACTTCCTACTGCTTGTTCAAATGGGGTTCAGTGCTCCACAGGCTGTGCCTGACTTCAGATGATTTTTCGGTAGATGTGATATGAGTTGGTGATCTCTGTCTACTTCAGAACCAGTAGCTCCCTTTAAGAAATTACACAAACAGCACAATAACCCTTGCAGTCTAGTTAAGTGTGCTGGAGGATTTTTGCAGTCTCAGGGTTTAAACAATGTACGTGCCTTTATTGGGCTGTATCTTCGAAGGAGGTGAGTGGGTATGTCTGTTCCTCCTGTGCAGGCACTGCTCTTGGCCTCTTTAGAGAAGCCAAAAATTTCTGTCTTCATGTAACTAGGCACTAATTAAGAATCAGTAAATTCACTAGCTCTAGTAAAAGGCATGAAGGGCTGACCCCAAAGACAATATTCATCTCTTATGGTACTCGCCTCTTCTGCTTTGGTTGCAACACAGTCTTCTGTGTGACTGCCCCTGCCTCTGAGCTTCTGTAGAGATGTGTACAGAGGACATCTGTACTGGGGACACGATCTGCATAGTCTGCATATCTTCTCATAACTGCAGTCCAAAGACCAGATTTGTATCTTTGAAGTCTTTTTAGGTGGAATCAGCCGTATTTCTTCTGTCATCTGCTAACGTCACCGATGTATATCTCTGTTCCCTTCTATCATTTTGTAGGGTGGACAGTGTGGAGATGGATTGCAAGTCCGCAATCTCACATGTGTAGTGCATGATGCATCTGTTTCTGTTACATCCAAACCAGTAGAAAATGCATTATGTGGTGAGCTGCCATCGAAAGAGAGTGTGCTGCAGTTACCGTGCTCTGTGCCTTGCCCAGGTAAAGTCTTTGGAAGGTCCCGGTGCATTTCTGTCTGTGATAGCTGTCTGAGATGGAGATGCTTCCATAGCGCTGAGTACTGTCAGCCGCTGTAGTAAGAATTTGTACTTCAGCAGATCAGATAAATGCTCAGTCTGCTGTTTCTAGATCACCTGAAAAACACTTTTTTTTAACTTTTTTTTTTGGAGAAAATGAGATTCTCCGTGAAGCAGAAAATCTGAATAATGCATAACACTGGGAAATAAACTGTGGGTACTTCACTATTAAAGCTGTTGTACGCTTAGGTTGTCCTTTTCCCTTAAAGCTGATTCTTTTTGAAAACCTATGATTTATTCTTTCAACGTGCAGGTGACTGCCACCTGACAGAGTGGTCAGAGTGGAGCTCCTGTGAGCTCACCTGCATCAATGGCAGGAGCTTCGAGACAACAGGGCGCCAGTCTCGATCCAGGGCGTTTATCGTTCAGTCTCCTGAGAACCAGGAAAGCTGCTCTGGACAAGCGATGGAAACACGACCTTGCTCAGGTAGTGTGGCCGAAGTGCTGCTTCCTCCTGTTCAAGAGTTTATTCTGTTTTTGTTGCAAGGTGAAGACTAACTAGTATTGATATTGCAGGAGGGAAATGCTATAACTACCTGTGGAAAACCAGCCTTTGGAGAGACAATGTACGCACGGTGTGGTGTCAGCGCTCGGATGGAGTAAATGTCACAGGTATATTCAAAAATTGCCGTGCTTGATTATGAATGAAATGTCTCCGTCCAGGTTTTTCTTTTTCTGCATCAGTTGCTCAGAGAGCAGTTGGACAGTCTTCCAAACTCCTCCAGAATCTCAGTTCCAATTTGTGTGTAGGAAGGAGAGATGGGAGCTCACCAGCCTTGCTGTCAGGTTAATATCACACATGTCATTATATGAGAGTATTTGGGCAAGTTACCCCTACTGTTGGGTTGGTCACGGGAAGAAATGAGTATACATGTACTAAAAGGGCTTCCTTGGCTGGCTTGCACAGCTGGTAGTCAACCTGCCTGTAACTGTGGAGAACAGAAGAGAACATCCCATGTGTGGTAGAGAGACGAGCTTCTGTACCTCTTCTTCTATTCAACACACAGGAATCTCGAATCGCTCAAACTGTGAGATTCCTGCTGTTGCCATGACCTACAAATTCTGCCTGCGCAGAATGAAAAGGGAAATTCGTGGTCAGCACTTTGAAGCTCAGTGAGACATTGGCAAAGGCAGGAGGGCTTGCACATCCATAGGGTCTCTCTCAATATGCACAGGGTGAATGAGAGAGTAGAAATGAAAATGCAGATGTTCTTATCTGGTTCTATTTATAGTGACTAGTTAAGATAATAACAGAAGTTTTATGTGCAAAGGTTGCTGAGTAATTAAGAACACATGAACATGTTTTTATTCCTATAGAAGCACAGACTTCCCCAAGTGAGGATGGGCAAAGGTGTTATGTGGATTATGTCTTCTTATGTAGATAAGACATTAATGAGGACACAGAAGATCTGCGTCTAATTCCTGATTCTGTCCTCAGCTTCCTATGTGGCCTGTGGCAAATTGCTTAAATCTGTGTATCTCTGTACTCCATTAACAAGATGGGTATGATAATAATTCCCTGCCTTGTTAAAGGCAAATTAATTAATGCAATGCCTACAGATATTATGCTAATGCGCTCAATAGACTAGTATTTAACTATATAAAATAAGCAAGCAAGCAGTCCTTACACCATAGTGATCCAAGTCAAAAACATTTTAAAACATACCCTTGAAAGCACTCAGTATTTCCTTTTACAGGAGGGTGTGCTTTTCGGACAAAACCTGCAGAAGTTCGGCACTGCAGCCCAGCGTGCAGAAAACCGTTCTCCTACTGCACACAGGTAATTGCTCGCTGCAGATTATGGTTGAGAAATTAACACTGCAAAATCTATTCAGTTAGCTTCGGTATCACAAATGCATTCCAGGACCTAGAAAATAGTTTAGTATGTCCATGGTACCACCTCGAGGAAGCTGTGGGTATTTCATTCAGAAAGAAAACCTTCATAAACCTGCACAAACGACTGATGGAGTGTTTGTCTGGTGTTACAATTTTGCTTTTGTTCTGTGGAGGAGTTTTGGAACCTTTTGGTTTAATTTTCATTGAATGCCATTCCGTAGAAAATGGACTGCTCAAAACTATTTCAAGATAGATGAAAGAGTATGTCCTCTCCTGCTCCTCCACAGACACAGAAAGCCCCCATGAGCGCAGGGAAGCTGTAGTGCCCGATTCCACAATCCCCATACTATCTTCTGAAGCAAAACCTGGAAGTGACCTTTTTTTGCTGAAATGTTGAGCACCTGCTGAATGTTTCAGCCACTGACATTTCTTTGCCTCTGAGCAAACATGAGCCCAGAGGTTACGAATGTCCCTCCCAGCAGTACCGAACTCCAGAGTAAGAGCTTCCCAAAATGCCTTATCCATGTCAGTACTGTGATGGAGTATAAAACCCAGAACCCTTAAAGTAGCCAGGGGTAGCTGGGGTTTAGATATTTATATTTTGAAAATAGCCTCCACAGCTCTCGGCTTCAGCTGAGTATCTGGTGGGAGGAATTAGCACTGGAAACTAGCTCATGGGCAACTGAATGTGGCTGAGAGGGTGGCCATGAGAGTGCTCAGAGCCTATGGGAACATAAAAATGATGGGTAAGCATGAATTTATTAGCTATAAAAACTCTTGAGACTTCACCTTTTTTCAAAAAAAAATGAAGATCATGTCAGTCAACAAGTGGAGTTTTTCATGACCACAAAACTGATGTCAAGAGTTAAATTCTTATCACAGAGACTGTAAATCAGTCTCCTGTTTGGATGGTGACCAAGGGTATCAGACCCTCAGACAGGCATTGCAATTGTAACATAATTAGCGAAGAAAAGCAATATAAAAGAGCTCTTTTAAAGTAGATAACCAGAAAATGGAGTATCTACTTAGTGAATTACAGACCTTGAAGAAACTGCTTAGACTGGTCCACGGCAGTGGTTATTTGGCTGTAAGAGAAAAAGCTTCATTCCAGGTAGCCCTGTAAAATACATTGGGAGGGTTTGGATCTAATTGTTTCTGTGTTCATCTCTTCTAATGCCCAGCACATCAGTGGGAAAATTGTTACTGACAAGAGGAGTTTGGATCAAGCCACAGATGCCTGTTATTAAGCCTATTAGGATGAAAATATTGCCGTGTAGGGCTTCTCTGTAATTACTGACTCTTTTTCAGCCAATTCCCAAATCTGTTTTGGCTTTTTGCACTGAAATCGGTTTGCGGGCACTGGTTCCTGGCTTGTTTGGTTTGATGGTGGTGAAGTTTCATCTGCAGGATATATCTTGCAGTTTCTTCATAGTTTGCCTACAATTTGCACTGTTCTGCGAGAGGATACTATTTGGTTTAATACTGAATTCCCTTTTATCACCTAGAGAGGAGTCTGCGGTTGTGAGCGAGGATATACAGAAATAATGAGATCAAATGGTTTCCTGGATTACTGCATGAAGGTACCAGGTTTAGAAGATAAGAAAGCTGATGTTAAGACCATTGCTGGAAAAAATAAACCTGTCAACTCAAAAATGCATGACATTTTCAAAGGATGGTCTATTCAACCTTTTAATCCAGGTGAAAAACTTAAATATGAATGGAATAAATTGTCTTTACAATGTTTCTGTAGAAGAAAGGTACAAGCTTTGTAGATCATAACATCAGAGATTGTGTCTGGGAGCTGCAGAGCAGCCTCCCAGTTTCTAATTCGCATGCCATCTTTCATTCCTTTGTGCCTATACAGAGTTATCGCAATCTCTTATGTTGAGAGATAGCCAAGACAGAACGAAGCAATAATATTTTGCACAAGTATACTTAGATGTGATTTGGGGGGATGCTTAGAACTATTATCTGATGATGTTTCTAGAAGTGATGTATTTGGACCAGGAAAGATATTGATCACTAGCGCTTCAGAAGACTCAGAGCAGAAAGTACTTAAGATTTCATTAAAGAAAGCATTGGTTGTTTCTTGCCATATTTCAAAAGTATATGAAAAAAATAGGGGAGAAAGTATAGAGTTCAGAGTTTTAAGTATTGAAGTTAAGACATTAAAAAAAAACACCACAAAAAGCAGGCAAGCTGCTGTGCCCAAGCAGTGCATCCCAAGCGGATCTTTGACTTCCACACCATACAATGCTTCCCAGTTGGAACTGTGTGCTGGCCCACTGGACTGGTGCTGTAGCTGTAATAGTGATTACCTGTTAATAGTGACTTGTTATTTTCCAAGATAAATTTAGTCAAAATAGATTTCTAAAATGCAAACAGGACTTTAAAATGGGGGATGAAGGTGCCAAGCATGTCAAGGTTTACTGAAATGCAGTAGTTCTCCCTGTTTTCTAAAACACTGGCAGTGCAGCCTTCCCCCTCTTCTGTTACCTGACGTTGCATTTGTTTCCTATTAGTTTGTAATGAACACGAGACTTTAGAAAACATGTAGCAAAAGGTTCTGTTTCGGGATTCAGGGAGCCGTAATTCTGTCTGATATATGTGATCATGCTTTGAATGTTACATTTACATATTTGATTTGCATACAGTAGTTAACCTTTGCGTTGACAGTCTCTGAGCTAATAGAGTCGGTCCAAAGCCTTTTAAAGTTGGCTGGTTTTCGATCAAACTCATCATCCAGAAGCCCACGCAGTTCACCAGCAGTTTGAGTCACAGGTTTGGGGTTAATTGCCTTTTTGTCAGCATCCGTGGCCCTCGGTAGGCTGTCTGTCTTAGGTGCCATCTCTTCAGCTGGTACCTTTATGGGCTTAGAAAAAGGGAGAGGGGTGTAGGTGGATGCTGCAATCCTCTCTTTTTAAATCAGCATTCAAGGCTGCAGCCCTGAAAGGCTCTGGTGGGCTTGACCTCAGTGCAGCATCCGTGAGCCAGTACTCCCCCAGGGACTATAAGACAGAAACAGGGACTAAGGAGCTTTTACAGAACATAGTGTTATTTAATTTTAGGGCAGAAATGTTACAGAAACAATATATGGGAAAGGAATAAACGTGCTCCTTGCGTGCTAAGTGTATCACCAACCCCATGGCATCTTGCAGGTAGCTCTTCAGTCTGTATGTGCCCTTCAGACCCCAGCTCAAGGCTGGTGCTCTTCAAATCACTCTCCTTTGTCTAACTGCTTGAAAAAATACGTAATTACTCCCCTTAAACAGCCTCTTAGGCTTACTAGTCTGGGGGTTTGCAATAATTACTGCTAGCTGAGCCAGGAAACCGCTGTTACCTACCAGCTATGCTCTTGATAGCAGGGCTATGGTGAATGCACCCTGTATGGATGGCATTTACCACCCTTCAGTACCATAGTCCTTGACATTTGTGTACATCTAAGGACTTATATCTGTCAGTAAAAGTATACATGCCTTTCTCCAGTTAATTTGTGATTTCCCTTTCCATTTACAGTGTGGAACACAAATTTTATTACTATTTAATGAGGCTGTTGTTCTTGTTCTTTAAATGCTCTGCAGGAGCGCACAAGAACTGATTTTGAATCAGGCTGTGTTTTTCCTTTCTTTACCACACTCTGGGATGCCAGAGTTCAGGTACAGAAAACTTTTTTCAAGTTGAGAGGCAATTTAAATAGCATTGTTTAAATTGTAGGATGAAATGGTCCGATGCCTTTATGTTGGGGATGGGGAGCATAGCTGCCTTCTTAGCAGGCATGTTGCTGTGGCAGTCCCTTTGCAGGACTGCTAAATGTTTCTTGGCCATCTCCAGTTGAGAGGGCGACAAATTTCATGCCCAGACTTCAGCAAATAAAACCATAACAAAACCAACCCAGACCTGATGAACGGAGCTCTCCTCACATGGGAGATAGACGGTAAGTGTTCGGAGAAGAGAAAATCTGCGAAAGGTACTCAGCCTTTCCACAAAGCCTGGAAGAAAAAAAGAGAAAGAATGGGATCTGATTAAATATGTTTCCCTTTGAAAAAATTCATCATTCAAGCCTCAAACGTAAAACAGGCTCAGTGATTGTCCCGTGAAGTAACTCCCCACTCGCATGACTGAGTTTGAAATGGCCTCTGTCAAATCATGTCTGTGGGCACAGCGTGGGTTCGTATTCCCGCGTCCAGTATATATTAACAGCTCTGTTGATGTGAATCAGATCAGGCTACTGCTGCACGGAAAAAATGCCGTCGCTTCTCCGCACAAGGAAAGCTGTACAGCCAGAACAGGGCAAGGCACTGAAATATTGATCTCTTAAAAATTATTACTGTTATTGATGCAAAGCTTGTAATTAAGGACTTGTCTAAATAACGTGTTTTGGGACTTTATGTCAGAAGGAAATGTTTCAACACGCTCAAGCTCACATGTGCGTGGAGGGGTTCCTGCAAGGGTCGCAGAGTGGGTCCCCTGGCATTGCAACCCAAACAGCCCTATCGAGAGCCCTACCTCATCTTAAAGCCAGTCATGTCTCCTGCTCCTGTGGCCCAACTGGAAATCTCTCACACAACTTTATCCCTCTTACTATTACAAAGCATGTTCCTGTTTTCATTCTAAGCCGAATTTATTCCCATTTTTTGCCCAAGTGTTTTCCAGCTCTGAGTAGCTTGTTCACCTGCTCTCGCTGCTGTTTACCCCAGTTGACCCCTAAGTATTTAGGAAGAACAATCCCATCCCTTCTCAGTCCTCTTTTCTTTAGGATAAACATTTCAGGTGTTACCTGCGTTTGTATCTGGGTCAGCTCAACATTGAACTGCCTTTGCCAGGGCAGCCGTGGGGGCTCCTGAGCGAACGTACTGCAATTATCTCGTGCCCCTGCTCCTTTCCACGGGCAGGAGCCTGTCTGGGAGGTTATTCTTGTGCTGCACCATAAGCCCGGGCTGCCCATAATGAACTGCAGGAGCTCAGCCCCGGGGGGAGGTTATGAAATAATGCTGCTTTGGAAAACTGAGACAAAGAGTTAATTTTCAGTTTTCATTGAGGAAAATTTACACTCCTTACTAAAACTACGATTTTGTCTTTAAAATGATCGATTTTTTACAGGAATCTTCTTTTCTGTCAAGAGTATGGGGTTTATGGATTATTCCCAGCCAATAATAATTGGCTGTGTTTCCCATCAATGATGCTACTAATTTTGCTTGTGAGCTTTCTCTTAATCTCTTAAGAATTTGTGTACTTTAGAATAAAAGTATTTTATTTTCCCTTTTTCTCCCTCTCTCCTTTTTCCTCATCTTCCAACAGATGGTAGGCTGAAGATGTGGGTATACGGAGTATCAGCTGGCGGGTTCCTCATCATAGTTTTCCTGATTTTTACATCCTACCTGATGTGGTGAGTATGGCATGTATTTTGTCCTTAAATAAAAGCTGGTTTGCTTTTATTTAAACAATCTGAAATATGTCACAACGCTCTGTGTTGCAGAGATTTAATCCTCAAGGCTTTAGGAAAGGATGGAGCTAGGATTACATAAGTGCCTTCATTTGGACCCTACCTCAGAGTAATATAAAACTCTCCAAATTGTAAATGCTATCTGGCCTAATCATGAAGAAGTGTGGTGGCCATTATTTTTGGTTATCAATAGGCCCTCATATTTACTCAGACTTCTGCTGGGATTAGAAAGGGCTTTTTATTGTATTCTTTAAAAAAAAGATAAAGTAAAACTGAAAAAAGGCAAGGAGGCTGATTGGATCAAGGAACTGGCTTCTGCTCAAGGAAGGACTAAATAGAATAGGGGCATTCAGTTGGAAAATGATGTTTGACGTGGGAATACAATAGAGATCTATGAAATCATGAATGGAGTAGAAAAGGCGCTAGGGAATTTTTATTTCCCACAGTATAAGAAGTAGGAGGCATCTGATGAAATGATCGTTTAAAATAAACAAAGGATTTTATTTTTCACACAGTGCATTATTACCTTGTGAGCTTACCGCTGCCGGGGACTGTGCATGCCAGGAAGATAAATGGATTCAAAGATGGCATAACAGTTCACAGGAGATTGGGTCTCTTGGTGTTAATTGTGGTTTTCTGGATGTACGCTCCAGCTCAGGAAATCCCTAAATAGGTTTTTGCAGTTAATACATCAGGTGGGAACATGTCCTGTGTCTAACGCTGCTGTTACCAGCCGCTGTTAGAGATAGGGTACCGGGTGTACCGAAGCCCTGCTCTACACCAGTGCGTCACCGGTGGGGGGCTGTCTGCCCCCCTCCAAAGCAGCGGTCACCCCAGGCAGGGGTGGTGGCCTGGCTCGACAGAGCTAGTGTTGCGCTCTCTGGTTTGAATATTTGGAAAGGCAGCGCCATTGATGCGTCTTGGAGGATACGAAGGGAGCAGTGGCCAGCGTCCGTGCGTCCTGCGATGCCCACAGCTGTCCCTGAGGACCATGGAGCTGGCCTAGGCTTTACGAACATTAATGGTGCAAGCTGCCCCAACCCCTGTCAGATCAGGGCAGGCGATCAGAGAGTCACAACCGTGGCCTGACGGCATCATTGCCCTCTTTCATCCAAAATCAGTTTATTCTCTCTCACTCTCTTAGTCTTTCTCTCAGTCTCTCTCTTCAGTTAAAAGCTTAAATAACAGCCTTTGGGTGCTGCTTTTAGGACTTGTAGCGTCCTTATTTTCCAAGCCAGGTAGCTACCATTTCTCTGTGGCTTCACAGTGGAGCATACAGAGGATTTTTTGAATAACATTACATAGTTCTCCATCACTCGAAGGCTGGTGAGGAAGTGTATTTCTCGATAATAATTATTGTTGCTTCGATACCGTGCCAAAGAAAAAACGAGAATATCCCACACATAGACAGTTCATGTTTCAATTTTTCTGCAAGATATTCCTTGTTTTGTCAGCTGTGAGAAGACATGGGAGACAAATACGCTTTATTTCCTCTCCAGATAAAGAGCACAGTTGGCTGCCCATTTTCGGCAGGCTGCGTGTCCGCACCACACACGTAATAGCACTCAAGCAGATCCGTGTGGTTTTTTTCTTGGAAGTAGTCACTGTGCTGCAGTGTCACCAAGCTGCAAAATGAAATAGCCGGCATGGGAAGTTCATTTTTTTGAAGATTGGTTTCTGATGATGTTTCTGAGCTTATTACAGTTTATAATTTTGTCTCCTGAAATGTTTTTCTTGCAGCAAAAAAACAAAGCAGCATCAAAGTACTCCTCCGCAGCAGAAGCCTCTAACCTTAGCCTATGATGGAGACATTGACATGTAACATAGAAAAGAAATCCAAATGTAGACATCAACTGCCTTAACTGCTTTCTTTTTTGGAACTCTCTGACTTCTCAGTTTTTTGAGGAATCTCCTGATGCGTAACATACCAGGCAGAACAGAAGAATTGCAAGCTTAAAATTTTGCCATCTCTTTATTAAAAAAAATGGAGTCAAAGACTTGGGTTTTGTGAAACTTTTCTGAAGAGACCAGAGAATACATCTCTTCCTGTTGAGCAATGGGAATAAAAAAAAGAGAGAATCTACAGACATCAAAAGGAATTAGTAAAAAAAAAAAAAAAAGGCATGACAATCCTGAGGAAAAAGTGACATTTACTGTAAATGACAAGTTTGACACAGCATCATTATGCACTATATTAGTGCAGGTTCTTTATTCTTCACGTATTTCAACAATGAGTTTTCTAGTGATTACATTTCGTTCAAAGACTTTAAAAGCAGATCATGTATTTTGAGAAACGCAAGGAAGAATGAGTTGAAGTGTCTGAAGTTACCAGGTTTTTTAAAGTTTCTTCCTTCTTATCCTGTTTTCTAGTCTGGAATATGATTTTGCTTCATTTCCACCTACAGGACAGAATAAGGGTTGTTATGAAAAAGCATAGCTGGCTTCTTAATCAAGAATATTTTTTAAAGAGTTGAGTAGATAGGTGTTTTGATGAATGGATAGAGATTTCCGTTGTTTAAAAAGTATTTTAAATTAAATTAAACCATGTAGATACATTATGGCCAGTTTAAATTGTTATTCATTTTAATTAATACAATCTCTGCTTTTGTATTTAAATTTTCTTATCTGAAATATTTATAAATTCTTTTTTTGAATTTAATTACTTGACCTCATTTAATATACATCAAACACAAATGCAGTTTGTAGAAGGTCTTGGTTTTTTAAATGTTTCAAAACCACTGAAAAGTTACATGTCTTAAACATCTGGGAACATCTGAAGAGGGTAAGTGTTTATAATAGTGTGTGTCGCAAGTAAGAAAGTGCCATCTTGTGGTATTGACTTGTATTTATAAGCAAATAAAATGCTAAAGAGAGTGAGAAAATTGCTTCTGCTATGTTGAATTAAATGTGTGTAAACAATATTCATTATTAGTCTTTTACCGTGCCTGAGATTAGACTCAGATTTCAAACAATTCTGGCTTATTTTGTGCTGTAGCGATTAGTGAAAGCAGTATTGTAGACAAGTACAAGTCGAGAGAATAATTGCAGATCTAGAGAATGCTTGGTCTTATTTTTAGCTCAAAGCTGCTGCTTATTCCAATAATTAGAAAGAAGAGAAAAAAAGAATTATTACCAGCCTAGCACCTCTGCGGTCCTTCGCGATCTGCAGTTGCGTCAGAGTGGATCGTCGCAAGGGAGGGATGTAACCAGGGCACAAGGCAATGCTCGTCTTGTTCTGTTGCTATTCACAGCTCTGTAAAGTGTTGAATATTATGGTTTCATTGAAAAAATGCTGGTGGTGGAGCGAGGTTTCCTTCCCCAGGCCAGGATCCCTCCCGTTCAGCGTTTCTCCCGCAGCATCGAATTGAGATGATATTGTGTCGTCGAAGCAAGGTCAGGAATGCTCTTTCCTCTTCCCACATTAAAAAAAAAAAAGGCTGATGGAATTGCAAGGGGAAATTGTCTCACTTATTTCTGGCCCTGGAGATGTTCAGCTGGCCCTCCTCTCCACCGCAGAGCTGTAACTGTTCGTGGTATAAAAAGCAGGATCTGGTGTTCCCCAGTAACATTGGGAACTGCCTAAATCTTTTTTTTAACAGTGCCCGTACCGAACCTTTGAGTAACATGTGTAGAGTAAGAGTTACAAGGGGAAGAATGATCCAGTGCTACTAAGAAGACTACTGCCAGATCTTAATATATTTTGTCTGCGAGATACAATGTGAGGAGAATGGTACTCTGAATGATGAAGGAATAAACTCAATTAAGCATGCTGTTCAAAAAGGCACCGGAGTGGGGAAGGTGGTGTAATAACAACAGAAAGTGGCAGTGGCTCCGTGTGGCCACGGCCCTGGGCATCAGGGTAAATCGCAGCCCAGACGTGATGCCCAGCGCGGAGGAGCGGGCGGGGTGCTGAGCTGGGGAGGGAGGGGGCTCCGGGTGCAACGGGGCAAGGCGTGTGTTTCTCCTGAGCAGATGAGCTGGGGCTGCGCTTCGGGGCGGTGGCCTCCGCGCAGCCGCGTCC